GTCCATATCTGCACTCACAGGCTCACGTTTGTGCACGTGCACACGGGTGTACACGTATGCCCACACGCCTGCACGCACAACGTGACCAGCCTCTTGAGGTCGATCCTAAGTGTCTTCATCTGGTGGCGTCGTCCTGAAGCAGGGGCCCCCTGCACACTCACTTCTCAGCAGGCGGAGCTCATACCCCCCAGGGAAGGCTCTGCTCTCGCTGTTTTTAGCAGGTGCCTGGGGGCGTGGCCCGTGAAGCCCCGATCACACATGTGTTCTCAGATGGATCAGGATTCTCCTCCAACCACCGGCGCCGCATGTTCACGTTCCTGGCTTTCTCGTTTTCCGTTCCCCTTAACGAGGTCTCCGGGGCAGCAGGTTGGTGTCTTTGCGACATGTTGTGTATCTGTGCACTGCGGTGTCATAGGCACGAGTTGGCGTGACAGCTGATCCGCGGGCCCTCCCCACGCGGACACTGGCCCCGAAGCTGCCACTGTGGCGCTGTCCCCTCCCATGTCAGACCCTGCGACTTTCCTTCTCGTTTGGGAGGGAATGCATGTGGATGCAGGAAACCCTTCTGGGGGCGGGACCCTTGTGGGCATAGGCGCAGCTTCCCTGCTTCTGTGAGGATTCAGGACCTGCCGTGGCAACCGCACTCATGCTACACAGGGTTGCAATCCCTGTGGTCGCCGCAGGTTTGGTGTCAAAAGGGAATCCTGTCGTTGAGCTGGGCTTCTCTCCCCTTGTGGTTCGTTTAGGCCTCGTGTGAAGATACGAATTTCACACGGGTGAAACACGCCATTTCCCCTTGAACGGATGGCTCTGCCCGAGCCGACCCGAATGACCAACCGAGCAGTGGGCAGTGTCCCTCGGTTGGCCGTGTCCCCACAGCCCTGCCGCACGTGTGCAGTGGCACTGCTCGAAAGGACTTGCCCCAGTTGTCACTCGCCTGTCACTGCCCTGTCAGTGCTGAGGTGAGCACAGGAGCTAAAAACAAACATTTTTACGTGTGGAAAATTTAGCAGCTCTTACACCTTGAAAACGGAATAATACATTTTGTTTTGTTAAGTTGCAGCAAAGAGAGGTCATTGTTATGACAGGTAATTTAATAAATATTGTTTTGACAGACACTGAACGTGCCAGAGGCAGCAAGCCCATGCAGGGGAACATGAGAAGTATTCAAACGACTTTCCTGAAAATGAACTTCATGTTTTAAATAATAGATGTTTCTCTCCCAGGATAAACCTTAAATATTCCCATTTTCACTGAAATGACATGTTTAAAAGGATGGATTTGTACCCACAGTCCACTGTGGTCCGCACGCTCTCAGGGAGGCACCACAGTGCGGTCCCAGGGGACGCGGAGACTGTCATTTCCAAATCATGTGACTGCAGTGGGGCCGCTCCTCACACCGTGGAACACGCCTTAGCCACACGAGAAACCGTTTTGGCCAAAGACTCATTTACATCTTATTGTGTTAAATGTCACAGAATGAAGCCACAAGTGGCAAAAATTGTCCCTCAATCAGGTTCTGATTTTACTTTTATATTTCCTGTTATAAAAATGTAGATTTGAGTCCGTCACAGCATAAAGGTTTGTAGCTCATTAAATTGACAAAGGACTGAAGCACCCTCCCCAGCAAGGACGCGGGAAGTCGAGCTGGCCGGACGAGCTGGTCTTGGCCCCGACCCTGACCCAGCACCGTTCATGTGGGCATACTCGTGTGTTCACACGGGAAGGAAACGTTTCAGCTGGGAAGGGAGAGGCATTTCGTTTCTGTAGGATTAAAGCAACATCACCAAGAACCGCATCGAAACGGCGCTGTGTGCAGGCTCTCTTTTTTGGCCTCAGTGAGGCCCTCGTGTGCACGGGGTCACGAGACAGCGAGTGCACGCGCAGGGCTGAGGGGGGCCGTCCCGTGTCCTCGCCATACGTGCCGACCGCGCGGCTGCGGCCTCTTCCGGCCCTCCGCGGAGACTCAGCCCGTGTCAGCTGCTCAGCCCGTGTGCACACGCCTGTCAGACACGTGTGTAGTCTCTGTGCGTCAGGCACCTGTGGATCTGGATGAAAGTACAATTGTTTCAATATGAAAAAGCCACTTTGACGATGACCACATCCACAGATGCGTGGGACCCTGTCTCTGGCAGAAAACGATGAAAACAGCATGCCCAATGCATGTGTTTCTCTCCCAACTTCCCGACCAAGCACAACACTCCGCAGTGTGTCTGGAAAGCCCTGATGTGAGTGTGCATGTGTGCACGTGCCCATGGGGTCTGAGTGTGCGAGTGTGCATGCGGTGTGCGTGTTGCATGTTTGAATGTGTGTGAGTGCACAGGTGTGTGCGTGGGTGTGCGTGGAGTCTGAGTGTGAGAGTGCGTGTGGGGTCTGAGTGTGCATGTGGGGTCTGAGTGTGCGTGTGTGCGCGTGGGGTCTGAGTGTGCGAGTGTGCATGCGGTGTGCGTGTTGTGTGTGAGTGCACAGGTGCATGCTGCGTGGACATGGGCAGGACACTTGGGAACACTTCTGTGCTCCCCGTCCATGCATACCCTCCTGCACTGAGCACCTGTCTCCGGAAGATTCCCCAGGTGATGGTCAGAGTCTTGCTTAACTGAGATGTGGGGCACACGGGACACCCGGCCCTCAGCCTCACCCAGCGGCCTCACTCAGGAGCGCCTGGTTCTCATCTGCCCTGGGAGGTGGTGGGCTGGGCCTGGCATTCATGTTGCTGACTTTGTGCAAATCTGCCTCCTGAACAGTCTGTCATTGTGCGGATCCTCTTCTGGGAACTCAAAACTTGTAAGTGATTTATTTTCTAATTAAGTCAAAACAGTAAGTAAATGAGTTTGGTATCAGCGTGGTTTTGATTAATGGCTCGCTGCTGATTTGAACTACACTTGGGGCAGCAGGTAGTTGCTCCTCTGGGTTAATAGATTCTAGGGTTGGATCTCCATTCTTAATCCCCAATATGACATTGGAAACATTTGTGTTGAAGCTTCTAAGTCGGGTTGAGGACGAAGGCAGTCACGGATCTGGAACAGATGTTGTGATACACTGCGGCTACTGATGGGGAAACAGAAGCTGGCTCTCATAAACCTCCAAGCAGCACGGCCTTGCCGTGTCTTCCTCCCCAAGCTGGAGCACCCCCAGGGAGGCTTGGGCTCTCACCCCACGTGGACAGTGATGTGCGTCCATGTGGCACGTGGACACCTGCATTCTCCAGGAAATGAAACATGCGCTGCCTGACGCTGGGGAAGAGCTTACTTCCTCATGGCGGCTGACAAGCGTGCACCTTTCAGGTTCCAGTGGCGTCTCGCTGGCCATCTCCTGGTTTCTCGGAAGAGGCAGTGACAACGACGGTGAGTGGTGGGCCGGCCACATCACAGCAGAAGCTGCGGCTGTGCCTGCCAAGCCTGCGGAGACCAGGCCCACTGCCCGCGCCGGTGTCCCGCGTCTGGGCTGCTGTTCCTGCTCCTGGAGTTTGTTCTCAAATTGGGACATTGACACACGTTTACAAACCTCGCTGGAATAGCTGCGAGGCTGAGGAACGTGGTACAGAGCGTGAGGGTTGGTGCTGAACGCCCCCTCCACGGTCCTCCCGCTTGTGGAGAAATCCCCGTCTGCGTTCACGCCGGAGTCCGTCTCTCCCTGTGACACCCCGTTGGCGGTCTTCGCCTCAAGTCCCCTCCCGGCTGCCCAGCTCCCAGGGACGCCCTCCGTCGGTTCCCGTTGGTGTTTGCCTCCGTGCTTGGCCCCCTGAGGGCACGGTGGCCACCTGTCCTGTCCCCGTTGTCCGGGCCTGTGCTACCAGGCAGGACCTTGTGAGCCTGCACCTGCCTCCTCGGGGTGGGTGAGGCGACCTCAGGGTGGCCTCCTCACGGCCGGCGTGGAGGCAGAGCCTGGGTGTCTGTGTGGGCGCCCTCACGCCTCCGGCCCCACCGCGTGCGCCTCGCCTGCTGGCACCACAGCAGGGTGCTGTGGGGTGTTCACCGGGCGTCCGGCTCTCACGACGGCCCTGTGGGTGGGATGGCGAGGATGTGTGTCCACACCGCAGGCCGCCCTTCCATAGGTTCTCGGAGAGCCCCGGCTGCCGGCCGGGCGCACAAGCATGGGCAGACAACCCTGGCCTCTGTGCTTATTCCCAGCACTGGTAGTGTTCCCATACGCCTGTCACCATGGCGTTGGACTGTGGTGTTAGAGCGACTACCTGTTGTCAAGGGCAGCAAGCACGAAAATGAAAAGCAGGAGACGCGGAACAGCTTGGGGGTGCCAGGCCCTTTCTAGGCTCCAGGCTCTGCTCCGGGGGCGCAAGCTGGCAGGCACAGGGCCGCGTTTAGCCGTCACCTGCCCCTGGAGGGGACAGGCCCTGAGCCAGGAGAAAGGGGCCCACCGTGTTTATGGCTGTTTGTCTGCAAGTGTCCTCTTTGCTGTTAGGATGGTTGTGGGCGAGAAAGGGGACCCTGCCCTGCCCGGTGCACATCTGAATTTATTAGGGCAAGAGTTTCTGCAAATGGCTTCGTGCTGCCCTAGGTTCCTGGGGGTGCGAGCCACACGCGGTCCTTACAGCAGACACTTGCCAGGTGGAGAGCAGACCGCGCCATCACAAGCTGCCGGCAGAGGGAGGAGGTGGGCTGGAGGGGAGGCTTGGCGGGGAGGCAGGGCCCTCTCAGCTGCTGCTGCTGCAGGAGGAGTTGAGCACAGCCACGCGTGGCCATGTCCACGTCCTGGGTGCTGCTCATAGTGGTGCTGCAGCACGTGTGCGAGATGCGTGCATGCGGCACACGGTGTGGGGGTACACGTGGGTGCATGTGTTTGAATGGAGGTGACAGGAGTGCTCACAGCTGACACGTGACCATGAGTAGATCACAGAGACGCAGCCGGGGGCTGGGCTATAGGGGTTACTTAGCACCTAGCACTTGCTGCATGATGTCCTTGTGAATTAGTCTCTGCTTATAAATATTTCTGAGCCGTGGGCGTGTAGGGTGCTTAGTGGGGGATTCTTGTTCTCTTGCCAGCTACACGGCTACTTGGAGAATGAGCCACTCACACTACAGCTGTTCATTGGGACGGCCGACGACCGCCTGCTGAGACCCCACGCCTTCTACCAGGTCCACCGGATCACAGGCAAGACCGTCTCCACCACCAGTCACGAAGCCATCCTCTCCAACACCAAAGTCTTGGAAATCCCACTGCTGCCAGAGAACAACATGCGAGCCATGTAAGCTGTGCGCCTGGCTGGGGCGGTCAGGGGTGGGTGCTGGGCCGTGGGGCTGCGCGTGTGTGGCTGGGGTGCACGTGGCTGGGGCAGTTGGGGCAGGTGCTGGGCGGTGTGGCCTGCATGCCCATATCTTTGCCCTGGGCTCAGCACCCACGTAAACCATAGATCCGTAGGCTGACAGGTTTTTGTAGGGCTTCTGCCGCTGTGCACGTGGTACTTGAATAGTTCGGTCCCCATGGCCAGTCCCCCCTCGTGCTTGCGTTCACCTCCTGAACACGACACCCATTTATTTCTGAGTTTGGTGGTGACCAGATGCAAAAACTGAAAACGGAAGGAGCACAGTCTACGCGGACACAGTTCTCCCTGGGTGGTTCTGTCGTCCCTGACGCGAGTGGCTCTGATGTGCGTCTGGACTGCCCTCGTGGCTCCATGGAAGCTGTCTCTAAGCTGATGATTGACCTCCTCGTGTGCAAAGAGGCCCATGTTCACAGCCTCCCCGCCCCCTCCTCCCCTGCTCCCTCCCACTGTTGTGCGCCCCACGCTCCAATCCCAGGGTGTGAAGAGCGGGGCCCGTGGCCGGGCTGGGGGCGGAGCGGGGCACCCTGTGTCGTGCGTCAGGAACTGAAAGACAGGTGTGGACTCTTGTTCCTTTTGTTCCGGGTAGTGTGGACTGTGCCGGGATTCTGAAGCTTCGAAACTCGGACATCGAGCTGCGGAAAGGAGAGACGGATATCGGGAGGAAGAACACCAGGGTGAGGCTTGTCTTCCGGGTGCACATCCCACAGCCCAACGGCCGGACGTTGTCCCTGCAAGTGGCCTCCAACCCCATCGAGTGCTGTGAGTATTGGAGCTGGTCCCGTGTCCCATGCTCTGTTTTGTGGCACCTTTCCTGTCTTTATTGTTCATGGAGACTCGTGGACTGGACTCACATGGGCATCACTCTCGCATCCCTTGCCTGTCGCGACGACTCCTGAGGAGCTCACTGTGCTGGGTTCAGGTTCACAGGTTGTGCATGCGGCGGGCCCACCAGCTCCCGGCACACCCGCGGGGAAAAGAGGGCAGTTTGTCCGAAACCCCGAGATGCTTGCACTCGCCACATGTGAGCTAATCCCTTGCGTATCAGAAACCCAAGCAGCGGGATTTTGGCGTCTGGTCCGTGGGGTCCAGCGAATCTGAGTTTGTCGGCCTGCGTAGGCCTCTCGCCTTCCCTGCCATCCCCTGGTTTTCACTTCCCTTGTGGTGTGCATGATTCAGGTGCGTCCAGCCTTGGGCCTGAGCACTCTGCTCCTTTGGGGGCCCCTCTTCCTTCCCTCTCGGGGTGTGGCTGTCACAGGACACTCACCTGCCCCTGCAGCTCACCTGCCCCCGTGTCTCGGTGGGAGGGTCTGGGTTTGGTTCCCTCATCTCTGACCTGACTGACTCACCTCAGTACCCAGATTCCTTCCCTGCAATGTGTCCTGTGGCCCCCCACGTGGAGCCCCACAGGCACCTGTCCCCACACCTCAGCACAGTCCAGGGGACCCGCCGCAGGCCACTGCACGTGTCTGAAGCGTGGCCTCCTCCCTGCAGACCTGCTGGCTGGCTGAGAGCCGCGGGTGCGCACCTGGCCGCAGAAACTCTGTGCCGCCACTGCTCCTGCCCGGGAACTTTGGTGGCCTCACTGCATCCTGTCCTCCCCAGATGACCCGACCTCCCTGAACTCCATGCCTTCTCCCAGCCCCTCGGGTCCTGCGGCTCCTGGCTCTGACAGGACCGAGAGCCCCGAGACCCCACCCCCGGTTTACATGGGGTCTGTGCCCCCGCAGCGCCTGGGTCGAGGTCTTGCTATGGCTCCCAGTTTCGAGCCCGCACTCCCTTCACCATCCACACAGGTGCTCCTCTCCTAGAGCGGTGCGTCAGTGTGTCTGGTCTGCGCAGAGGCCGAGGGTCCCCCTGGGGTGGCATATTCACTCCACAGAGGCTCATGCACAGACCCACACATGCACACATCCCCGCGTCTTGATTTTCCCGTGGGCACAAGTCAGATGTGCACCTGCCCTGGTCGTCTTTGCGTGATGACGCGAACCTGCCATGCAGCTGGTGCATCTCATGCTGGAGGCTGTCCGTGTAGGCGCCATGCCCCCCCACCAGACCCCGAGGCGGCGCCGGGAAGTGCCCGTTCCGGACAGACTGGCCGACCCCGGGCCCCCCCTCAGGATGGTGGCGTGAGGTGGGGCCGGGGCACATGCTCACTCTCCTATTCTGACCCCATGCAGCCCAGCGGTCGGCCCAGGAACTGCCCCTCGTGGAGAAGCAGAGCGCAGCCAGCTGCCCTGTCCTCGGTGGGAAGAAGATGGTCCTGTCTGGCCACAACTTTCTGCAGGACTCCAAGGTCATTTTTGTGGAGAAAGCACCAGGTACTTTCCTTGCGAACAGACCGTGGAGCATGTCCCGCTTTGGGCGCTGGTGGGGATTGGTTCCTGGAGGCGGAGTGAGGCCACTCGGTGGGGCTCTGCATGCTGGAGAGCGGGAGCAGCTCACGTAGCTCTGGCCTGTCGGAGGCCTGCCTCCGCTCGCTGCCCGTGGCCCCTTGCCCGGACTGGATGGACGTCTGCTTCTTGGCCCTGAGCAGCCGCTGCTCCTGGCCACCGCGGGGCCATCTCGGGAAGCGCCGTTCTGCTCTGTGTAGGAGGGCTTCTCACCGCTCCGAGCCACGGCCTTCTTGGCGGCGGGCATGTGGATGCAGAGCAGCCGTGGTAGACGGTGGGACCCGCATTTGGACCGGAGGCCCCTCCACACCCCTTGGCATCCTTCCGGCCCCTGTTGTTGGTGCCGCCCCAGGATGCAGAGGCGGGTGCTGCTCTTCTCCGTGTGACTGGTGGCTCCCAGCATTGTGTGTGTGTGTGTCGACGACTCTGCCTGTGTAGACGCATGGGCAGGTGTAGCTCTGTGTGTGTGTGTGTGTGTGTGTGCAGTGGTGGAGCTACACGTGCAAGGTGAACAGTCTCTTCTTTCTGACGTTTGGTGATAAGCCCCTGGGTGTGCTTTTGTCCCGGGACGCCCGACCCATCCGGGGAGAGGCCACTGGGCACTCGCACAAATAACACACAAGGGCAGGCGAGAGCGTGTGCAGGGCTCGCCTCTCTCTGCAGCTTTGATTCGGGAGCCAGGTCCCTGCCGAGCGTGCCCCGTGGGCATGAGGCCCTGTCCCCGACGGGGTGGCTTCTCCCCGTTTCCAAGGGGACCGATGCAGGACCCACGCTGACCACTGGAAACCATGGCGGGGTTCAGCCTCCACCACGGGGTCCTGATTTTGTGCCAAGAGCAGGAAGCTTAAGTGCTTCCATCAAAATGGGCTTGAAAGTCCTCTGTGTTCTGCATGGTCTGCCTGTGTAATCATGCACATAATTGGGAAACATGTTGTGAATTATGGAGAAAACCGACTAAGGATAATGATCAGGAGAATTTGAGTTACTGGAACATTCTTCTTTAGAGGAAACTAATTTTGAAATGATTTAACTTTTTGAGCTTTAAATGTGTAAATAAATGTGTGGGGGGAGGGTCACCAGACATGGTGCTCTGCTCACTGCACAGCGAGGCGACGTGCTGGGACGTGGCCCAAGTTGCCACTTTTCTGGCTGCACGAAGGAAAAGTCCACGTGGCTTCCTTCCCTGCCTTCCTGACCAGTCCTTATTGTGGTGCCGGGATGAGACCATGGGGGTCTCCTGGATGCTCCCTGGGCTCTGTGGGCGCCATGGGGCTCCTTCTGCAGGGCAGGCTCTCCTGGCCTGGCTGTCCTGCTCAGTCCTAGATCTCTGCTCTGTGGCCTGCTGGTGCCACATGGAGGTTGGCCACGAGCCCACAGTGTGGGGACCTTAGTCCATGGATGCATAGCTGGCACCATCCTCCCCTGGGGACCCTCCAGCCACCCCTCCTGCAGTGGCCTGGTGCCCCAAGCACGGCCGGCGAGACGCGGGTGTGGGAGGCGATGTGGTCGCAGGCTGTGCCTGACCCAAACGGGTATAAACGCCGTGGTTACACGTCTGGATGCTGTCGCTAGTTCGAGTGTGTATTTAAGGTGGTTTGCTTGTTCACACACGTGCACACGAGTTTTAACTCCTGGCAGAGGGGGCACTCGTGCTTCTCCTAACGCATCCCGATGCACTCCATAACTGTAACTAGGCTTTTCCTAGTTGACTTTTTGTAGAAACCATTAAAGGCAATTTAGGTTACAGTTGTCCCATAGGCTTTTGATGAGGTCTTTGGTCTGTGGCAAAGTTCAGTCTTTAAACTGCTGTTTGGCGCTAAGGCCGGAATGTGATCAGGGAAACCCTCGTCGTGGGAGTCCTGAGCGTGAGTCCCGCCAGGAAGGCCCGTGTGGTCCCCATTCTTCCGGCTGCTCTGGGTGTCTCGGGGGTGCCTACCGCCCTGTGTCTGGGCCTCCCTGCAGTCGCTCTGGGCTTACGCACTAGTGACCCAGAGCTTTGTGAGGGTTTCAAGGAGCGGTTCTTTCTGCCTGGGGGGCTGGCCACACCTGCTGTATCTCCCAGGAGAAGGAGGGGGCATCTGGCGCCTATTCGGCGCCTTCGTAGGTGGCAGCACCAGCCCCGCTGGTGGGTGTTGGTGGGTCCCCGGGAGCCAGCCCAGGCAGGAGGAAGGGCTGGGGGTACCTCACAAGATGTGAGGTGTGTGAGAGCAGGTGTGTGAGCAGGTGTATGTCAGGGCGTGAGAGCAGGTGTGTGAGAGCAGGTGTGTATGGTCTGTAATGAGCGTGAGTGGGGGCTGTGTGTGTGAGGACCTCCTCTGTTGTCGTGGGGGTGCAGCCACCAGCGCTCCTGGCCACATCGTGTGTCAGGGACAGTGTGTGTGGGAGCCCCAGGTGCCCTGTGATCTTTCTGTCCGAGCCTGACCACAGCCGGGCAGAGCCGGCGGGGCTGCATTCTGAGGGCTCTCGTCATCCAGGGTGCAGCGGCAGCCTGGCCGGCACCCGCACCTCCTCTCCCGCCCTGGTCCAGGGCCGTGGCCACGGGGCTATGGTTCCTACTTCCTTGGCGTGCTGGTTCTGAAAGGTTTCTGGAAACTGTGCAGACACGGACACCGCCGGCTGGTGGTGTGGCTACGCACGTGCAGGTCGTGACGCGGCGCGGAGGAAAGATGTCTCCGTCGGAGTTTCCCAGGGTGTTTGTGGGAGGCGGTGGGAGCGCACATCTGTCCACTCAGACAGCCGCTGCCCCTTGCTCGCCCACGTCAGCGTGCCGAGGCCTGACCTCCACGGACATTGTTCTCAGGCAGCCCGCTCTGGTGAGCGCTCCGCAGGGCCTGGCTGCACAGGTGGGGGAAATAGCTGGTGCCCCTAGGACAGCGTCACCTGTGACCCTTTGTGGGACTGACGACTCTGGAAGCCACGCTCATTTCCAGTGAGCCAGCATGCGGCCTCAAGAACGCTTTTTCTTACGCTGTGGTCTCAGATCGAACACTCGCCCCCCAGTTGTAAACTACGGGACGTTTTGAGTGGTCTCGGGGTCTGCCCGTGTCCCAGAACGCCCTTTTCCTCCCCAGCTCAAGAGCTTCCTTTTACTGATGTCCCAGCATGCGCCCTGGTGCCCACTGGGGAGATGAGGCTTCAGCCCAGCCGGTGGGGATTCCCCTCCCCCACTGGGCTCTCCCGTGGGCACCCAACATGCTCTCCAGGCCCGGCATTCGAGAGACGGGGCGGCCAGTGGGGGCTCAGCATGCTCTTCCTGGGGCGTGGTGACCTGCGCTGGACAGTGTGCAGAGGACCCAGCATGGGCAGGAGGGCCTCTCCGCAGACCCCCGCGGGGCTTCCCGAGTCAGACCAGAGGCCTTGTGCCCTTGCCGGGAGAGGGTTGTCACTGAAATTTCCTTTCTCCAGGCTGGTGGCCAGTCTTTCCTTGTGCTTTGCCCCAAACCATGCCTGGGTTCTCCCAGCTCAGCACTGAAGTGACATCCAGAAAGTGGGCCCAGGTCCCTCCCCAGCAGGGAGGGTTTTCTGTTCCAGATCCCGCCCTCTGGCACCCGTGGGTCTTGATGGGAAGGGGCGCAGGAGTAGGTGAGTGTGTGCAGAGGATGCTGCTGGACGAGGTCACACAGGCTCCCTCTTCTTCCTCCTGTCGCAAGGCCGCCTACACGCACGCCACACGCGCTTTGGAGAGTGTACGTTTTACACCTGCTTTGTTGAGATGGAACTCACCAACCACACAGATCATCCATTTCAAGTTCAGGGGTCTTTGGTCTGCTCGGCTAGGCAGCCATCTCACTAATTCAGACATTCCCAAACACCATCCACCCCGCTCTCCCAGCCTGGCAGCTTCGAAGCCACTTCCTGTCCATGTGGACCCGCTGGTTCTGGATGCTGCCCTGCCCGGAGTGGCGGTATTGGTCCCGCTGTGTCTGGCTTCTGCGCTGAGCACCTGTCTTCAGCTGCGTCCACACAGGATGTGTGTTGAACTTCGTCCCGCTCAAGACTGCTAGCATTCCATCATGTGGATGGACCACGTTGTGCTAACCCACTTGCAGTGTGGACATGGGGCTTGTGCCCACCTTTTGGGTCTGGTGCTCTCTCAAACACAGGTTTCTGTGTGGACACGTGTGCCCTTCCCTGGGCGTTGCCCGGGTGCGGAGTCCTGGTCTGGAATGCCACGTTCAGCTGTGTGGGGACCAGCCAGGCTGAGCCCCATGGCAGGAGGCTGATTTCTTTCTCCTCTGGAATCTCTTCTGTAGGAAACAGGCTGCTTTGAGCGGTGTTGGGGGGGGCCCCTGAGTGTGAGGCTTGGGGAGTTTCAGGGATTGAGGGAAGTGAAGACCGGCTGTGTGGAGGTGCTCCCCCCGGGTAGCACCCCCCAGCGCCGCCGACCCCGCATGCTCGAGAGTCAGCACCCCGTCTCTTCCGTGGCCCCCACAGGAGTGTGGAGGGGCCCCCTGTTTGCACCTCCCCCACTGCTTTCCTTGACAGCCGCCCTGTGACGGCGTTCGGTGTGCAACCTGCTCCCACGGCCCGCAGACAGGTGGGGAGGAGACCATGTGCACGTGGCCGTGGGCCCCGGGAACGCGTGTCCCACCACGCAGATGTGTGATTTGGTCTGATCGGGCCTCTGCTGTTTCCATCCTGCCCATTGGCTGCGTGACCAGCAAACCACTTCAGCTGTTGCTGTGACTTGGGAGGAAGCTGGTCACTTGGCGTCTGCGCCCCTGCTTGCCGGGGGCCCGAGTGGCTGTGTCTCAGGAAGCTCTGATGCTCCTGTGGAGGCTGGGGGCCCCACGTGTGGCCCCGTCCGGCCCCGAGCCGCCCCGGGAGCTGTGTGACTAAGAGCTGGGCTCAGAGGCTGCGCCAGCCACAAGCCAGCCGTGGAAGCCTCCGGGCAGGCGGGTGTGGTGGGGAAGCCTTTCCGATGACTCACACTGCAGGGAATTCCCTAATGATTCGGAATATTTTTACTTCTGGGCTTGCGCACAGTTTCCTACCGAGGACCCAGGGAGCTCTTGATAAGGCTGGGGCTCCCAGGCTCGTTCGGGGCTGGCCTTTCCCGTCCCCATAGAGTCTGGGGCTTTGCTTGGCACCCAGGCCAGGCCTGCCTCTGGCTGGAGCGCCGCAGAAGCCGACGCCCAGAGGCCAGACGCCCAGAGGCCGGATGCCCAGAGGCCGGACAGCAGGGCCCGCACCACCAGCTCCTGTGGAGGCCAGCGACCCTTCTCTCTGGCGCTGGTACACGTGGGAAGCAATTTTGTAATTTCCTAGCGTCCACGATGGTCAGCCACGTTGAATGGCCTCAGTGCTTCCGTCTTCGGACAGTCTGTATACACTTCTGTGTCTACACAAGTGGACAGCAGCTCATTTAGGACCCTCAATAGAAACAGGCCACACGCCTGCCCCCGTGGGCTGTGACTCAACCACAGATACAAAGACTCAGGGAAAATAGGGCCAGAGCCCAGGACCGTCCTCAGGTGGGCAGGAAAGTGTAGGCAATGAGCTCCTGCACCGCGGGCCTTCCAGAAGCCGGCGTTTAACGGGAGCATCTGGGTGCGTCTGTTTGTGCTCCGTTGACCTGCACCTAGCAGGGCTGGCGTTTGGGGGAGCTGAACGTGGCGTGCACCGTGGGCCTGTGTGGCTGGCTGGCCCTGAGCCGATGCTCTGCCAAGGACTGGGACCCACCGGCCCGGGAGGGGCTGGAGTAGGAGGGCTCTGCTGTCACATTTGGCCCACGGGCCCCACAAAGCACCGCGTCAGCTTCGTGGCACGGATGAGCCCGCAAGGTGTGTTCACAGCAAGGCCGGGTCTGCTCTCACTCCTCCTGGAGGGTAGATGGTGGGCGCAGGGTCCCTTTGTTGCCGAGCGCCCTGTCCCTGGCCCCCCGTGGGCCTCGGCTTCCCTCCTGCCCCCACTCCAATGGCAGGCCCAGACACTCGAGAATTCCTCAGGGAAGCCTGAGCTGTGCTTTCCACCGACAGACGGAGACCGGGCAGCAGCCAGAGCTGCCCCCAGCCGTCCAGGTTTGAGACCTAAAGCTGCGTTTCTCTGAAGTTGTTTTAAGAGGCACCGAAAACATGAGAGACTTGCTTACAGGAAGAATAATTTCGATTTCCTTAAGCGAGTGGTGGGTGGGGCCGCAGTGCGCGAGCCCAAGGCGGGTCTGGCCTACGCGGCCTAGACAAGCCTGCCCCGTCCCCACATGGGGCACCTGGAACCCCATCCCCAGCTCACAGCTCACAATCATCTGTCAGCTTGGGGGGCTGGGGGGTTAAGGACGCTTCTGCACTCTGGACAGTGCGCGGCTTTGTGGAAGTCTTGGTTGGTGCCTTTGAGAACGGGACGGTGTATTTTTAGTTTCCAATTATGTTTTCCTGGAGGAGACACGGACACTGATCCCTTGGGCCACTGGTCTACATTTTATCACCGAGTGGGTTCATCTGGTGGGTAATTTGCTCCGGGACCTTGGGTGTCCCGAGAGGCTGGTGTGGTCCTGGCAAGCTGACGCTGCTCTGGGCTCTGTGTGACTCACATTTCCTCCCTCTGTCTCCACCCTCCTCCCCTGCCCGCCCGCACTGTCAGGCAGAAAGAGCAGATTTTGTCTAATTTATTTATAATTTAGGATCTGTAAGACACATACATCTCTTCTTTGGAAACAGAGCAGGAGCAAAAACTAAGTATGTCTCGCTGTAATTGTTCGTTTGGGGACAGACTTTATAGAAGATGGGGAAGGGGGAGACCTTGGCAGGAGACTGACCTCAGTTAATTCAAAGTAACTACCCAGCTGGTCCCCACACAGTTGGCCGGCCATAGAGGGGCTTCCAAAGGCCAAGTACTTGGTTTGCAGACGTTCCTGCCAGTGGACTTCTCGAGGCTCCCTCCCTCTCAGGCCTGGGCCTACAGAACACTGAGCCCTTTCAAGGCCTATTGGGAGCCTTTTTACTTTTTTTTAAACATGCAAACGGCCACTGGGGTAAGGTTAAAAATACCATGTTTTGCATTTCTGTATCCTGATGTGGCAAGAAGTTGTCACAGAAAGGATTTTATCGTTTAGCTGGCAGTTCCTGTGGGCAGAGGCAGGACCGTGGCTCCTGGGCCCTCACTCGTTAGAATAACTCTGCTCCCAAAACATACAGGCTTTGCAGGCACCCTCATTCGGCCCCTACTCCCAGTGTTTGCACCTCGAGGCTGGAGTCACTGACGAGAGCCAGGACACATACCTGGGTCCAGGTCTGAGGACCATGCACTTTTTCCTGGGTCCTGGCGTTTCTCCTGGGCTCGCACTCCCTTGACAAAGCTTGGCATATAGAAACCCTTCCACATCTGGTGTGAGGCTGGGGCGGCGTGCCTGTGGACGTAGGCAGGGGGGCAGATTTCTGGGGTACTTGCTGCATGTGGCTCCCTCTCGCAGAGCCAGGGGCCTTCAGGCTCCGCCAGGCTCCCTGCCCCCACGTCTGGGCCTGGCACGTCCTCTCCACCGGTGACCCACACGCGACTGTTTGCTCTTGTGAGTTAACAGCCAGGATGGCCTGAGCTAATCAGAGGGCGGCGGTCTGTGGGGTCCCCTGTGCCTGGTGAAGGCACGCGGTCTTGTGCGGTGGGCTCGACCAGGCATCCAGAGTGACCAGCTTCCCTCTGCCCCTTTCTTCTAGACGGTCACCACATCTGGGAGATGGAGGCGAAGATGGACAGAGACCTGTGCAAGCCGGTAAGTATGGCCGGACACACAGCCCGTGGTGGTGCCGGGTGGCTCTGGAGGCTGGGGGTTTCCTGCTCGCGGGAGCGACGAGAAATACCAGACGGAATAACAGAGCACAAAGCGGGCACTGTGGTAAAGCGCTTCCTGAAACAAGTGTTCTCAGGACACAACCCGCTGGAGGGCAGGACCCCTGCCCCCAGGAGGTGCTCCGTCCCCTGTGGGGACCGTGGGCTCACACCTGGGCCTCCCCGGCGATCGTTGTCACCAGGGGTCCCGTGGAAGCCGCTGTTCTGAGTATGAGTGGGCGCCTCACCTGCCCCAGCACGCCAGGCTGCGTGAGGTTCCACCAGCGTCCTTGGCACCCATCACCGAGTAGACTCTTGTTTTGAATATGAACTAGATGTGAAGTCAGGTCTCATGGTGCCACTCAGATGTGTGTTCATTCCATCTGCCAGTTAGCTGGTGTGCTCGTAGGTGCCGGCAGGCTGCGGAGCCGGGGCCTGGCCTCGTGGGGGCCGCCGCGCGGCTCTCGGGCCCACAGACGCCCAGCGTGTGTGCACCCACGCGGACACCCAGCCTCTCACAGCTCCTTGGTACTGCTTGCGCGTGTGGGTACCTGCGAGGTCTTTCCTGCCCCCGTGGTTGTTGGTGGAGGAGGGAGGATGGTCGTCTACAGGTCTGCGGTTCATGCTAGCCGACACACCGTTCCTCATCCCCGGACCTTTCACTGGAGCCTTATGTTTAAAGTGGATTTCTCATAGACAGCAAATAGCTGGGTCTGACGGTCCGTCCGTTCAGTGGTGTATTTAGAACATTGGTGTTCAAAGTGATTATTGACAGAGTGGGATTAACCTCTCCTATCGCATGTGAGTGTGTTCTGCTTGGTCCCAGAAAAGCAGCAGGGGACTTCAGGATGACCTAAGACTGTGGCCAGCAGGTGACTGAAGAAGTTCAAAGTCCTCCCAAGATCTGTAGCTCAGCCCACTGACTCTGGTGGACGGGCGTGTGTGGCCCCTAGCTAACCCTGCTGACCATGGACAGGTGTGTGTGGCCCCTAGCTCAGCCCGTTGACCATGGACAGGCGTGTGTAGCCCCTAGCTCAGCCTACTCACCGTGGACAGGTATGTGTGGCCCCTAGCTCAGCCCACTGACTGTGGACAGGTGTGTATGGCCATTCTGACAGTGCAGGGAAATGGGAAGTTGGCTTACTCAGAAATAGTGCTCAGGGCAGGAACATACTGTTTGCTCAGGGCTCCTGGGGGCCTTGGGGTGTTGCAGCAGGGTGCACAGGGAGCCTTTGGGTGGTGGGATTTCTGACGCCATTAGGTAGGTATCTCTGCCCTGCAGCTGGTGGGACTCTGAGTCACGAGGGGGACCCCCAGCCACCATGGAGGTAGCTGTCTGACGGCTGCTCACTCACGGCAGGCCCGGGACCGCCCGGGTCCTCACAGGTGGCTCTATCAGGATGAAGCATCTCTACTTGGGACTTCAGCTTCCTTTTCCAAAGCTCTAATCCAACGGGTGTCAGATGGAAAAGATCCCTCCCTGGCCCCAGGGGGAAGCCTGTGCTCTGGAGCTCGCTCCCTTCCCGTGATGTCCAGGCCTCCTCCCGCACTCGGGACCTCACACGCGCACACACGAGCTTCTTCGGGTCCTGTCCCGTTTGCCGCCTGCCTGAGAAGCCCCTGGCTCAGCAGGCCCACCAGGTGCAGCCGGCTCACGGGTTTGTCGTAAACAGACACCTGGCAGTAGGACAGACAGCTGCAGGCCGCCTCCAGCAGCCTCCTGCATGCGCCCCAGCCCGCGAGGGGGCCCACCCGTCTCCCCGGAGCAGGGAAGAAGCGGCAGAAATCCAGCGGCTTTCCGTATTGAGACAATTCCTGCCCAGTTTGCAGGCTCAGCTTGAGTGTCATTGACTTTTCTACTTTACTTTGAATAGTTGTGTAGTTTAATGGAAGCTTAACAGTTAACGGTTGGGGGTTTTAAAAGAAACATAATAATATGTGTGAATGAGGATGTACTTTAGGTTTACTATTCATCCTTCTTATCTCTTAATCGAGGTTTACTTTTAAGTATTATTTCTAATCCTAAAGGAGTATGGTGTTCATTGTGGAAATTTTGAAAATATAACAAAGTATAAAAAAGAAAGCAGGCACCTTGTGTAATTTTATCCCCGCTAACGTTTGGTCCTGCCAGGCTTTCCCCGGTGTGTGCGCGCATGTGCATGTCTGTGTGCGTGTGTGCATGTGGGCCTGGGTCTGGGTGTGTGCGTGCGTGTGCATGTCTGTGTGCGTGTGGGTCTGGGTCTGGGTGTGTGCGTGCATGTGCATGGCTGTGTGTGGGCCTGGATCTGGGTGTGTGCGTGCGTGTGCATGTCTGCGTGTGGGCCTGGGTCTGGGTGTGTGCGTGCATGTGCATGTCTGTGTGTGTGGGCCTGGGTCTGGGTGTGTGCGTGCGTGTGCATGTCTGTGTGCGTGTGTGTGTGTGGGTCTGGGTGTGTGAGTGCGTGTGCATGTGTGTGAGTGCGTGTGCATGTCTGTGTGCGTGTGGGTCTGGGTCTGGGTGTGTGCGTGCGTGTGGGCCTGGGTCTGGGTATGTGCGTGCGTGTGCATGTCTGCGTGTGGGCTTGGGTCTGGGTGTGTGCATGCGTGTGCATGTTTGTGTGCATGCATGCGTGTGGGTCTGGGACTGGGTGTGTGAGTGCGTGTGCATGTCCGTGCGTGTGGGCCTGGGTCTGGGTGTGTGCGTGTGCATGTGTGTGTGCGTGTGGGTCTGGGTGTGTGAGTGCGTGTGCATGTCTGTGTGCGTGTGGGCCTGGGTCTGGGTGTGTGCGTGCATGTGCACACATTCACACGCACACGCATGCACTCATCATGTCCCAGGCAATTTGTAAACAAAGCAGGATCGTGCTGTACGCGTGGCTTATGTGCTGTTGTGAGCGTAGACGGGAGTTTCTTAAACCAAGTTGCGTGGATGCATCGAGTGCCGTTTGTAATCCCTGCTTTCCCTGTGATGACGGATGTCCTGTTCCTGACTTTCTTTCCTGCATCTCCCTTCCCTGCTCCCACAAGGACGGTGCTGTGCAGAGTGTATCTGTTTGGAAAGCTAAAGCATATCGGCCTGTGCCCGCATCAAAACAGGGCCCCAGTCACTAGAATTCATAGAAACCAAACCACAAAGTCGAACCTGGTCTGAGGGCCGCCCTGTCCTACCCGGAACTCCTGCTTCTGCCCGTGTGACGCATCGCACACACTTCTTGCAGACTCTCCTGTTGACGGCTCCTTGTGGCTCATTTTATTTTGAGCCTCTGTGTAAGCAGGACCTCCTCTCTGTGTCTTCCCTTCACTTCTTCTGTGGGGTCCGACTCCATGCACTCTGTGCTCCACAGTGGCTCGCTGTTGGGGAGGGCCAGCATCCCCCGCAGGGTCCTCTCCATGTAGTCGAGTCCTCAGACGTAGTCTGTCTGCCCTCATGCTCCCCGTGCCGACGGTTAGGCAGAGACGCAGAGCGACCCGGAGCCAGGCCCTGGCCACGCATGCCCCCCCTGCCCGTGGGACCCACGCTTTGCCCCATTAGCTCCATGTCTGCAGGGTTCTTCTTGCTAAGGAGACAAGATGCTCAGGCGGAAGGAGATGCGGCTCGTTGCCTCTTCCAGACGGGGCGTGGTCATTGAAGCACTGAAGCCGCTTTGGAGTGAGCATGGCCCCAGGGGGTGGAGCCCAGAGGGGCCCTGCTGTCCATGCGCATCCTCGGCAGCAGGCTTCTGAGCCTCAGTTTCTTTGTCTATAAAAGGAAAAGGTTGGGCCTAAAGTTCTCTTCAGTTTCGTTTTAACATTCTTAGGATTCCATTACTAACTTGATTCAATCCATTTTGCTATTAAACTGGGTAATAAGCTACAACTTCTTTGACAAAAACCTGATTCAATGGATTTTTCTTGTTTTCTCTACTTGCTAACTTAAATCATTGGACAAAAAAAAAATTGAAGAAACATTTTGGATGTGAAATCCTGTCCCTCAATGTGAAATCGAGCACAGCGTGGGCACCTGTGGAGACCTGTCCCCTGACTTTGGCCCCTGGCGTCAGGCAAAGTGTGGTGCGCACACCGACATTGGCTGGGCCCCGGGCAGCCTGACCCCCAGCCTGTGTCTCCCATAATGCCGTGCGCCCCACCTGACTTATTTCAGACCTGTACTCGAAGGAGCATAATTTTTGTGACAAGGTTGCCAATTTGCGCTTTAGACCGTGAGAGGTTAACAGCGCCCACCATAAGCCATCCTGTCCCCGTTTGTGCTTTCTAACTGTCCACGCCTCTCCCAACCTGCTCATGTTGCACTCACCCACCTTCCATCTGAGGGAGTCTGGGAGGCCGTGGCGGGCATTGGGCCTTCGTCACAGAACCGGTCCCCGAGACATGTCTCCAGGAAGCACCTCCCCTGGGTCTTCATCGCGTTACCTGAACGGGTGCTCACTGTGCCATCTGTGAGCCCAGTGTGGGACTGTTTTAGTTTCCAAAGGTCAGTGGCCCTTTTGGTTTAGGCAGGCAGACACGTGGGGGGTCTTTCGAGGACCTCTCCTGCCGCATGGCCATTCTGCCCTCAGATGAGCACCAGCGGCTTCGCACGGGGATGAGTTGGTGGCATCTGAGGGGAAGCCCCAGCCAGCATGCTGCCCCTGCCCCCCCAGCGCACACCACCTGTCAGCTCCGGTGCTCAGGCTGCCCGCGTGGGGCTGGCAGGTTCAGTCTGCACACACGTGCGCCTGTGTCACAGGCAGGCTGTTTGTGGGCATCTTCTCCTAAGCAGCTGGGACAGCCGCTAGGGAGCTCTGGAGGGGCCGCGCGGGCCCGCCGTGTCTGAGCCTCTCACCGTCTCCCTCCTCTCTGCCATTTCTCACCAGAACTCGCTGGTGGTTGAGATCCCGCCTTTCCGCAATCAGAGAATAACCAGCCCTGTGCAAGTCAGCTTCTATGTCTGCAACGGGAAGAGAAAGAGAAGTCAGTACCAGCACTTCACCTACCTTCCTGCGAACGGTAACGCTCTCTTTCTAACCTTAAGCACTGAAAATGAACCAAGGGGGCACTTTTTCTAAAAGACACAGGAATGCCAAGATGTTGTCGCCGTGAAACAGTGTGGTTGCCTTGTACGTTTAAGCTGCGTTATCATCCCGTTAGCAAGACCGTGTCCTCGATTCTTAAAAAAAGAAGTGAAGCTTTCCGTGTATTTCCCTTTATTACTGCTGTGGGTGGGGGCTGCATATTGGGGTAATTACTGACCATTTTGCTGGCTGCTTGCAAATATAGAACAGCCCAGGGGGAGAAAAAGTACAGCCCTTCTGTGCTCCAAAGCTGAGGTGGTCTAGGTGTGTGTTTAAATTCTATAGATGTTTAAGGTGGAAAAGCAAAAAGTTACAATTATTTTGCAGGTGCCTTTAGAAATAAACCTATGCTATTGAGCCTAAAGGCTAGTGCTTGATGTGGTCATTAACTAACATTAACGATTTCTGTGCTCATGGTAATGCCCCACATCACATTCTTCTATGAATAATTGCATTTCCTTGTGACCATGAGGCTTTCAGGCCCGAGCACCTTTTACTCAACTAAATACTGTCCTCGCTGAGACTGTTTATACACCTTGAGGATAGATGCTTAGGACTTAGGAAAATCAGTTTGCCTTTTCTGCTTCTTAAGGTATTTCCTTAAAGAAAATACAATGTGTTTGTTTTTTTCTTTTTACCCCCAGAACTAGTAGAAAATAAATGTGCTCTGCGTTGTCCTAGAGCATCGCCTGGCGTTCTGCCTCGCGGGCCGGGGCGTGCGCTCAGAGAGCACGGGATCACTTGTCATCCTGGGTTCGGTTGTGTTTTGTGTCAGCTCAGCTCAGCCAACAATCGTTTTGTACAGTAGCTCTTCTAAAAACTTGGGAGAGTCGTATAATTTAAGAGGGAAATTAGTGATACACTAAAAACTATTGTGAAAGCAGCCACGTTGTTTTCTTGGTAAAATCAAGATTCTCTGAGGGTTTAGTTCTCTTTAACCATAACGCGTCCTTTACAAAATAGACTAGATCGTAGGGAGGTCTAGAATATCTGCGTTGCTATCAGCTAGAATTAACTGTTTTCTGGGCAAATGTTAGCTGTGCCTTTGAAGATTGGAGTAATGCGATCTTGTTGTAAAGTCACCACCTCAAGAGGGGACGCAAGCTAGACTGCAGAAAAGGAGCGTGTGCGTGTGAGCTGCTCCCGCCGGGTTGGGCGCCCTCCTGCGCTGTGACCCTCCTGGGCTTGCGTGCGCTGCCACGTGCTCCGTCCCATCTGCTCTTGGAATGAGGGGCAATATATCTTACAAGAGAAAATATTTAGTCATTTTTTGAAAATGTAATGATTTTGTCCTAATTAAACTTCAAGCGTGGTTGACCAAAAATTGAATGTTTTAAAGAAAACCAGGCTTTATAAGAAAAATTGCTTTTTAAAGCAGTTTAGAAAATATCTCTCACATTAATGTTTTCTGCAGTCCTGGCCCCGAGCAGTAACATGCTGTCCCGTGTGAGCAGGAGAGGGCCTATGCCTGTGACCTGCACCTCTTACAGGAGGGGACACTGAGCCCAAAGAACATGTCACTAAGATACTGGGGTGCTGAGGGCTCTGCATGTGCCATCCTGTCCCCCGCCCTGCAGTGGGAATCACATGCTGCAGCTTCACCCCACAGGGACCTGACTGCCCTCTGCCCCGGGGCCCCGTCCCCATGAACTCCGTCTGCCCTGGGGCCCCGTCCCCACGAACTCCGTCTGCCCCGGGGCCCCGTCCCCATGAACTCCGTCTGCCCCGGGCCCCGTCCCCACGAACTCCGTCTGCCCCGGGGCCCTGTCCCCACACTGTTTTCTGTCCTGCTCCTCACACCCATGCTCTAAACCATACCCCATGTGGGTCCCCCGTCTGTAGCTGTTGCTCCTCCCTAGACATAGTCTGTCCCTCGAGCACTGGCCAGTCTGTCTGCCTCCATCAGGTGTCAGCGTCATCCGCACTTCTGTCCTTGAGATTTGCTCCCACCCCTGAGCGCCCGAGGCATCCCTGCCGCCGGCCCCCGGGAGCGCCCCGGCCCTGCCCTGGCTTCCTGGGGTGGCTGGTCTTGGGTCTGGCCTGCCGGGGGCGGGGGGGTTTGGGACCACACCCACGCACCACTAGACTGTAAGCTCCCGAGAGCAGGGACCTTGGCTGGCATCTGACGTCGTGGCTGAATCGCAAAGACGACCCTTATGTGGTTTTAAAAATAAACAAGAGAACGAATGAAAAAACTAGAACTCGGTGTGTCTGGTTTTCAGTTTGGTGTTTCTCCTCGCCGCGCACTCAGCAGGCCCACCCAGGCGTGAGCAGTACGGAGACCTGTGCGCTTAGCGCCTGCGCATCTGCGTCTTGGCTTAGAGGGTACCCCCCGGTACTGCGCCAGGCTGAGCCTCCCACCTGGACACCGGATTGTCAGCTCTGAGTCAAAAGACACGTGCCGTGTGGACGGTAGCTTTGCAGGGACAGTTGGTTAGAAAGCATCAGGCGGGTTCTGAGCTGTTTGTGGTACACTCCTTCTCGGAGGCCTTGTTTGTGAGGTGCTGCCGTGCTCACCTGGGTGGTGGGTCCCTTCGCAGGTGCGCTCGTGTCTGGCTTGGGTCCGTCCTGCGTTTTCCAACAGCAGGTTCTTTTCAAGGTTATTAAACGTGCTGTTGATACATGCAAGGCCTTGGAAGTAAATCCACTTAAACCCTACCCGTAAAATTCATTTTCATGTACAGATATGTAAAATCAAGTGCCCTTTTAGGTTTTCCATCAAAATTAGCTGTGGGTGCAGATGACGGTGGGGACCACCTCTCCTCGCGGTGGGAGACACATTGTGGGTCCTCAGAGGTATGACCCCACGAGGCAATGCCCCAGGAGGCCACCCTCACACAGAAAGGTGGGGCCGTCGCTGCCCGCACGTGGCCCCTGGGAGTGCAGGCGTTGGAAGCGAGAGGGTCAGAGTGTTGTTTGGGGGGCATGTGGGGGCCACCCCTGTGTCGCCCTCTAGTCACCTTCCCCACTTCTGGTCACAGCAGGCAAACTGACGCCCACCTTGCCCCCTCCCCACACCATCCGCCGTCTGAGGGGCCCCCCGTTTCAGTGTAATTGTCAGCGGTCGGCCTGGACGAGGCCCACGAGGCCGAGCATGGAGGGCCCACAGGCTCCAGTTGGCCCCGTCTTTGGCTGCTGGTGTGTCGTGGGGCCCAGGACACTTGGGCTCCCTCACTGCTCTCAGGGCTTGGCTCAGTGTTTGATGGGGGACATGTTTCCGTCTGAATGAGAGGTGGAACAGAGTCACTGCCCACCCAGCATCCCGGGGCAGCAGCTGAAGGCAGCAGTGAAAACCTTGGGTGTGACTCCAGAAGACGCCGCAAGGTGCACGCCGGGAGCCAGATGGGTTTTCTCGTTGCTTGTCTGTCACTGTTTTTGTTGTGCCTAAATGCAGTCTTCTGCAAGGAGAACGTCGTGTCTCCGGTTGGGCTGTGTGGGCTGTGGGCGCCCGGGTGCCAACCTGGAGACAGACTCTGCCCACAGCAGGAACGGTCCACCGCCGTCCCAGCTCCCCGGCTTGAGTGAGGGTGGAGTAGAACCGGAGCTGCGGGCGGTGGCTCCTGGGCTCAGGGGGCAGAGTGTTGGTCAGCTGTGGCTCCGTGGGCTCACGTTCCCGATGGCTGCCCGGTGCCTGGGACCAGCAGGCAGGGACAGGAGCTCAGATGGGAAGGAACATGATATTCCAAGTCGGGCCTCAGAGTTAGGTTGCAAAGTCTGTCTCAAAATGAGAAAATAAATCATGACACATGACCAAGTCTTGGAGAGTACGTCTTTGTGTCTGTTCTCCCTTGGTTTCCCAGAAGGGCCTTTCTGCTGACAGCTGAGCAGGTGAGGGTCCCGGGGCGTCCCCAGGATCAGGCGGGGGTGCCTCGGGGGACACAGCTTTGTTGGGGGCCTGCCCGACCTTCGTGGACAGGACACACAGTCCTCGGCGTGGGGCAGCTCCTCTCACAAACCCTCGGGACTGTGGGAAGGAACCACCTCCACCCGCCGGGAGTGAGGGAAGGTGCTCTGTGGTGGGGCCACACCTGGCGGGGATGGGCTCTGGGCCCCACATGAGTGAGCTGGAGGAGCGGAGCTTCGTGCCCCCTGCTCACTGCCGCACAAACGTGCACTTACATTTGTGGCCCTCATGAGACAGGGAGCTGACAGAAGACACACCTCAAGAGGTGGAAAGACGGGTAGGTTCTCTGTTTTCCGTTTGCGCCATTTAGTCCAGAAACAAGAGCATCCCCAGCGCCGAGGTGTCGGGCCTGGCTGCCAGCACCGGGTTCCCTGAGCAGCAGACCCCAGAGCCGAGGCTGCCGGCAGGAAGAGCTGGCCCGGAGCAGCCTGCGGGCCGACGGCCAGGCCAGTCCTCCCTCCTGCTCTGTGCGCACATCCAGCTCTCGAGGGGCGGCCGGGTGTGCAGTGGAATCCTGCCCGTCGTTCCAGGGGCCTCGTCTTCACAGCGAGCTCTGCCTGTTCTCTTGAGCTTCAGGCCTCATTGCTTTTCCGAGACCTTTGCATTAAAGTTTCCTCCCAAAGTGATGACCTCCACGAAGTCAGTACAGATGCTGAGCAGTGAGGCTGTCGGGAGAGGCTCCGGGGATCCGCACGGCACACCTGCCCGGGCTGGGTGGGAGGGCGCCCTCGGACAGGCTCCTCCGGGCCAGGCCTCACCGGGCGCCTGCTCCTGTGGATGAGCCAGCGAGCTTGGTCCCGTGCAGAGCTCAGAGGCCATGGTTTCTAGGGCACCATGTTCCATGCTGCGCCCTGTATTTCTCCTGAAGAGGGCCGCGAGGCATGTGAGCACATGGTCCTCGATGCCAGGCCCTGCCCGGTGAACGTTCTCGCCCCGCCTGACAGGAGCTGTGGAGGTGCCATCTGGGGAACCATGTGGGGTCCACAGCGGGGTCCCCAGGCTGAGACCGCCCCCGAGCCCCCTGTGCGGGG